CTGCTACTGCTACTGCTACTGCTACTGCTACTGCTACTGCTACTGCTACTGCTACTGCTACTGCTACTGCTACTGCTACTGCTACTGCTACTGCTACGACGACTACTACTACTACTACTACTACTACTACTAAGTACCACTACTACTACTACTACTACTACTACTACTACTACTACTACAAGTGCTAGTACTACTACTACTACTACTACTGCTGCTGCTACTACTACTACTGCTGCTACTACTTCTTCTTCTTCTTCTTAGTCTTGTTCTGCTGCTGCTGCAGGCGCTACTGCAACAACAACCGCCCGCAGATAGTACGCATGTTCTGTGGGTTGGGGGAGTGAAGGTTTCTGTTGAGTTCTTGTCGCGAACAGTTTCCCCCGGCCTCCGTAGCTGGCGCTGATTCGGCATCTGCTGCTGTTGCCGACTCCTGCTTTGCAGTGCTAAGGTGCGCCATCCTTAAGAATTTCCTTGTGCATATTGATTATTAGCAGCACCTTCGAACATGCTTGTCCTGCTGTTTCAAATATGGTGATTGTCGCTGCCACTACGAATGTCTGGTAGTATCAGAAAAGGGTTCTGATTTGGGCTCTAGCTAGATATACTGCATGTAGTACCACTGTTGATCGTCAGCATGATTGTGCCATTGATGTGACCTGGTGTTCTTCTGCTTGCCTTCCCGTCGCCTCTTGACGCGGCCCTTCTTTCTATGCAAATCTAGTTATAAGACAATGAAGCTGAGCCCAAAAACCAGAGATTCAAGCCCCCAGGCCTGATCCACGAATGCCTTCAAGTCCCAAGCCACTATATCCATGTACCCTACAGTCCTAAAGCCCTAAACACGCGAAAGTGTTGCAAGATAACAGTTCTTACCAAACCATCACAGAACCCTATAACGCCCCCTGAAAACCTTGACGCCCAAAACTCCTACAAACCCTGCCCAGAGTCCCCAATACCCACAACTCCGGAGTGTACCTTACTTTTTCACTTAAGCCGTCTGAGATCAGGAATATCTTATCATAGAACGCAACATAAGTACACTGTGAAAACATCTAACGGATTCTGAAAGTGATTCAAGGTGTCTAATTCTTTGCTCTTGAATGGACTTTCTGGGTAGACCTTGAAGCCGTGTTGCACTGCAACCACAGCTACGTTGGCAGGGTTTGGGGTAGAGAGACATTCAAAACACTCCGGAACCGAATCAAACCACGTGGATGTGCCCGCTGAAACCATCGCACCTCATGAATTATACTTGAGCGAACCCCATGGAAACCCTCTTATACCACAAGACACGCGTACCCTCAAAAAGAGAAACCAAAAATCCAACGCATCTCAACACGCTTTAGCACCTTTTCAACGAAGAGCAAAGCATTGTCGCAAACGCAAAAAACGAAAGGCCTCCACGAACGGAGTCTTTGAAGGGTCCATTAAAGGAAACCCTAAACCCTAAACCCAAACACCAAACCCCAAACCCTAAACCCCCAAACCCTAATGCTGTAAGCCCTGCTACCGCAGCCCTTCAGCGCCTTGGAGCTTAGCTCTTTCGTCGCAGCAGAAGCGGCCTAGGAGGTCGCTATTTTTAGGGGTTTAGGGCTTAGGGCTTTAAAGGGCTTACGATTTAGGGCTTTAAAGGGTTTAGGGTTTAGGGCTTTAAAGGGTTTGGGGTTTAGGCTTTAAAGGGTTTAGGGTTTAGGGATTTCGGGTTTTAGGGTTCAGGGCAAGGGCTTAGGGTTGAGGGATCATCTTTTTTGTGGGTCTCTTAGAACAAAGCTTTAAAGCTGATGTTGCAGGTTTTTTAGTGTACAGCCTTCAAGCGGGCTTTGCATGGCTGAAGTTTTGGCTGAATATCCGGGCCTTTCTACAAGGCTTTGCTTGGTTGCAAGACCAGGGTCCCTCCAAGGATTTGGGGCGGTTTTTGAGTACGTGGATATCCTCTTCAGGGATTTTATGGGGTGTTAAGCGTCTTACGGTATGAGTCTATAGACCGAAAACCTCCTTTGGCTCATAGGATCCTACAGTGGCAGTATGGGCAATATCAATCTGGAGCTTTACAGCTTTAAGGTCTTTGGATGATCTTGGCATCGGTTCCTTGAGGGAGGAGGGCCCATAACTTACGTGGGGCACTGTTCTTGCTATGGTTTGGCAGGAGCCACCAAATGCACCAGTAGTATTTGGAGATTACGCTTGCAAGAGATCTGCTTCAACTCTATTTATAGTTGGTGTGGGCACAGGGTGCCGACGGGGCGGTGTACAGGGTTTTCGCGTTTAAGGCTTCATAATGGGCTCAGTGCTTGGGATTTGCGGTGTGCCATGGGATAAAAACTACTAAGTTGCTATTCTCTGCAAAGATGTGCACGAAAGTCGAGACTCGCACAAATGAACTTGTGTCCGTAGGGTCCATTTTTGCTGCATTTGGGTTCGATAAGCCCTAATCTTTCTGGTTCTTGGTTCGTTTAGCCTCAACCAACCCCGTAAACCCTGCAGGGTGTCATAGGTTTATGTTGGAGTTTGCAGCGTGCGCCTCGAGTCGAAAGTTTTGACGAAACATCCGAGAGGTTGTTGAGTGTTTAGAGTCTTTCTAGTCATCCATGGCACGAGGGTTTCCCGTGCAGAATCGGGTCTTAAACCGCTCTTCCTAGTAGGGCTTCGCACTTTGGGGTCATACAAAAGTCCTGAAACCATCGGCCACATTAACCTACAACCCTAAACCCTAAACCCTAAAACCTAAACCCTAAATCCCAAACCCTACGGAACCTTGGAACCCACCCTCTTCTGGCACGGCTTGCAGGTCTAATGTAGGGGCCTTCATAATTAGAATAGGGTTTCGGGAGGTTCCTTATTACAGTTATAGTACGGTTTAGGGTTTAGGTTTTAGGGTTTAGGGAGTATACTATATATCTCCAAACCCTATTCTATCTATCAAGGCCCCTACATTGGGGTTTAGGGTTTCTTAGGAGCATGAGGACCGCTGAGAAAAGTTGATGCAAGTCCGACGCCATAAATCATCAACGCAGCCGGCGAAAACCAAAAACCCGACTGAAAAAAGCCTAAGCCCTACAGCCCAAGTTCCTAAACCCCAAGCCCCAGGACCGTGAATCTATAACCTCAAAGCCCTTAACCCACAACAACCCGAAACCCTAATGTAGGGGCCTTATACTAGAATAGGGTTTTTGGGGGTAGATTATACTAGAATTCTAGTATGGACGCTCCCCTTCCTCCAACAAAAATAAAACATCATTGGTAATTCTTTAAGCTTCTGTCTTAAACCCCTAAACCCCAAAACCCTAGAAGCCCCAAAACCCCAAAGCCCTAACACCCCAAAACCCCAAAACCCTAACACCCTAAACTCCTAAACCCCAACACCCTAAAACCCAAGCGACTGCTGCAAGGATCCTGGAAGCCCGAAGCCTTAAGGGTTTTGGGGTTTTTGTCCTGCACTCTGGGACTCTGATACCCGTCGAACTCAGATTCCCAACTACCATACGGCTCAGGGTTTAGGGTTTTAGGTTTAGGGTTTTAGGGTTTAGGGTTTTAGGGGATTTCGGGTTTTGGGTTTTAGGGTTTTAGGGTTTAGGTGTTGGAGTTTATAGGACCTTTGCTTTTGAACGAACTACCTCGCTCTCCCTAAACCCCCTGCCTAAGGGCTTCAAGGTACCAAACTCTTAATGAATAGGATTCAGGGTTTAGGATTTAGCGCTTAGGGTCTCCCAACGCCCAAATGATTAATGGGTGTAGGGTTTAGGGTTTCGGGCTTAGGGTTTACGGTTTAGGGTTTTCGAGGTACCGAGGCTGGCTGTCTTGATGGTCCGAAAACCAGCAACATCACCACAACCGCTATGGACAAGACCCTGTCAGGGGAGCCTTAGTTACTAGACCTTTAGTTCCTGCTGAACGCTACACCCCTAAACCCTAAACCCTAAACCCCTAAACCCCAAACCCTGAACCCGCCCTAAACCCTAAATCCTAGGACATGGATGCAAAGAGCTGCAGAGCCAGCTCCCACTGGGAACGGCCGGCACAAGCGAACATCGTGGCATTGTAACCTCGGTAAGGGTTCTATCATACAGGGGCCTATCAATGGTGAGAATAGGGTTCGGGGATCGATTATTCTCTAACTACACTTGGGATGGTAACCTCACCGCCGCAGTAATGCCTGTGCTCACGATTAGAAACGTGGTTTGGGGAGTATATAGCGACTCCTGTGGTAGATGCCTGTCTAGCGGCTCACCACGTCCGGAGCAAGCGCGGCTTCGTGCATGGATTCAAACAAGTTCAGGGCCAACTGCCACTGACCACCCCTTGCGCAGCAAGTGATCGTGGCCTGCGTGTGGTGGGGGGGGGGGGCCTTAGGGTTTGGGTGTAGGGCCTGTGTGTTGGGGGAGTTGTCCTTAGAAATCGAGGTCACATTTCTTGAGAGTTCTTGCAGTTAGATCTCTCTGTGGAGCTATATTGCTAAAGGGTCCCCGATTTCGGACACTCCTCATTGGGTCCAGCCTGTAGAAACCAAAGACATGCACACTTAAGGCAAACTGGGAGTTGAACCATACCGAAAAACGACTCGATGCAGGTCCAGCAGCATTGTAGCTGATGGCATCTGGTGCTAGCTGAGCTTTGAGGAGGGAGTTGAATAATTGTAAAGCCACTTGCCACCGCCCGCCCTTCTCGCAAGCGCTGATTGTGGCACTGTAGCTGATGACATCCTTACTTGTCCGCCTTCCAGAAAATGTGAGCTTTCTGTTGTGATTTCATGGTCCGCATAAGCTAACGGTCACATTTTATTATAGCAATGCCACTGAAAGACTACTAGCAAGTGAGCATGGAAACCCTAAACCCTCACCATACACCTTAAATCACTCCTGGAACAGTAAATCTAACCCTAATCTTCAACACTTAACCTTGCAAACCTTACACTCAAAACCCCTGCTATTGACAGAAGAGGCTCCGGGACGAGATCCAGCTGAGGCATGCCAGCCAGAAGGTACAAAGCCATCCTCCACCGCCCCTTCCTCTCCTTGGGTTTGTGTAAAGAGGTGTACTTGGAGGTTCATGGGCAGTTATAAGTATGGCTATAAGTCCCCTAATATGGGTTATAATTATAGTTACCCTACTTATAACCCGACTTATAACTACCCATGAACCTCCAAGTACAAGGTTCGCATACGGGTGCCATAGGGGTTCTAGAGGCTGCTCGCCCAAGCAGTCTACAAAAGACTTTGGCATGTCGGGTCTTGGGGTTGAGGGCGTAAGGCTTAAGAGTTTAAGGTCTCCGGTGTCGGGTGTAGGGCTTTAGGAAAAGCAAGAGACTAATGTAGGGACCTTAATAACTAGAATAGGGTTTTGGGGTATATTCTACAATGACTATCATAAGGACCCCCCTCCAAAAAAAAAGGTATTGAGGCCCCTATATTAAACCCTGAACCTTATATCCAGCCCCCACATCGGTAGCGAGTTTCAAAGGAGCTGATCGTGGCGTTGCAGCTGATGAGATCAGGAAGAAGATGCATGGACGGCATGCTGAGCAGAAGCCTCGGTTGTACCCTTGCACCCAAAACCCTAGACATCCCTTTACTAAACCCTAAACCATAAAACCCAAACCCTAAGCCCTTAAAGCCTAAACCCATAAGCCCTGAGCTTCGAATGCCTACGGCACAGCCTGCGGCCCTACGCTCAACTAAAGTGGAAGGTTCTCTACACCAGAAGCGGGAATCAAGCAGGAATCAAGTCTCTAAACCCCTAAACCTCTAAACTCTAAACCCTAAACCCTAAACCCCAAACCCCTAAGCCCCTAAACTCCTAAACCGCTGAACCCCAAACCCGAAACCCTGAACCCTTGAGAAGATCCGCTAGGTGACAGTTGGAGAACCCAGTCGAAGGAACCATGAGAGAGCCTCGGAGAACCCCAGACCTTTGCGTATCGGAATCAACCCTATAGGCCAAACCCGCAACCACCGAATCCTACATAGTGTACGGGCCGTAATGCTTAGAATAGGGTTTTGGGGCCCATTATATACTATATACTTATGATAAGGACCCCCCCCAAAAAAATAGTATAGGTAATTATTAAGGCTCCTATATCATAAAAGGCCCCAAACCCTAGCCTAAACCCTACACCGAATCCTCAAACCTGCACTCTTGTCACAAACCCCTTCTTGGCCCTGACAGAGCAGTACGGAGCTCTCAAAGGCACGCTTGGAACAATGCAAAGCTCAAGAAGAAACCGAAGAATACCAACCCCTTCGAAAGAACCTGCGGCAAAACCTGGCACTCTTATGGGAGCAGAGGGGCTGCAAAGCCAACTGCCAGTGACCAATCGACTCTAGCGATCCGATTGCCGCGACGTAGCTTCCTAAGCTCCCCCATTTAGGTTTTAGAGTTGCGTGTTTGGGTCTTTCAATGGCGCTGTTCAGTATTCTAAATAGGCTCTGGCAGGGTTCTATCTACAAAGGTTAGGGTTTAGGGTAGAATATGACAAATGCCCTATACCCTAAACCCTAACAGCGTTTTAAGGCTTCTGGGGTTTGCAGCCCAGGGTGGCTCTAGGGAGGTTACGACCCCCAAAACCCTAAACCCTGAGCCCCAAAGCCCTAGTTTTAGGGTTTAGGGTTTAGGGTAAACCTTAAACACCCAAACCCTAAACTGTAAGACCCAAACCCTAAACCCTAAACCCTAAACTCGAGCCCCGATAGCCCCTTGAAGCAGGATTTCGTTTCTTTCATATAGTTCAGCTTCGGAGCGGAACCCAAGAACAAACAGGACAAGTTTAGGGCTAAGGATTGAATTAGAGTTTAGGGTTTAGAGGAGGAAAACATGATACTACTGGCAAACCTAGCTTCTCGAATTCGGCAAGATTTTGGCATGGGGCATGGTGTGTAGCACATGCACTGCGTGCTGCCAGTGTGAGCTTCTCTTGTACCCGTTGAGAATTGCATTGTAACTGGAAATACTCGCATTCTGCTTGGAAGCCAGCATGGACTCAAACAGCACCCAAGCCAGCTGCCAAAGCCCTCCTTTCTCGAAGCAACCGAGGACGCCATTGAAACTTATTGCATCCGGCACCAGCTTTACCTCGGGCATCGATGCAAAAAGATGCAGCGCCAACTGCCACTGTGCTTCTTTTTCGCAGGACGCGATGAGTGTGTTGTAGCTGACAGTATTTGGAGTAACCTCTGCTTCAGGCATGCCAGTGAAAAGCGACCATGCCAACTTGCCTTGCCCGCCCCTGTCGCAAGAATTGATGGTTGCATTGTAGCTGACGACGTTGGGAAGGAGTTGGTAGGTTTTCATGGCGTGAAACAGCTGCCAAGCTGCTTGCCACCTCGAGGCCTTCCCACACGCACTGATGGTGGAGTTGCAGGTGATGGAGTTGGGTAGAAGCTGAAGGGACAGCAAGGACTGGAAAAAATGCAGAGCCAGCTTCCAGTGGCTGACTTTACCAAAACAGCTGATGCCCGCACTGTAGCTCACCATGTTGGGGACAAGGGTGCTTTCAGACATCGAGGAGAAGAGATGCAGCGCCATCTGCCACTGCCTTCCTCGCTCGCAGGAGGTCATGGTAGCATTGTAGCTACTCGCGTCCGGGGACATCTTGGCCTTGGTTATAGTTAAACGTCTACTCATGGGCATGTGATTTTAGAGAACGATAAACGAAAGCTCAAAAGTTCTCCCGACTTGCCACTTGATGTCTCTGCACCTTAAATGAATTACAAGATGTCAGTATTATGGCAATTTAATGAAGCTTCTTCGCAGGGGCCCTGCACAGGGAACAAAAGTGTTACGGCTTCCTAGTCTTCCTAGCTTCGACCGAAAATTCTCAACAAGGCCCGAAGTCCTTCGGATAAGGAAAAAACGCTGTTAGCCCCAATGTGGTAGCTTCAAGAAAACTAGTAACAAGACCCTTGTGAAACTCTAAACTCCCTAAAAGCCCAAACCCTAAATCCCTAAACCCCAAACCCTAAATCCGAAACTCTAAATCCTGAACCCTCCTAACATGAACCCAGGAGCCTTCCACATGGAGTGGAAAAGACTGAAGGCTTTCTTCCACCGCCGCGACGCCGCGCTCGCAGAGATGGCGGCGCTATAGGCGACGACGTCCGGGGCTAGATCTTCCTAAGGGCCCCTTTTTTTTTTTTTTTTT